TACATTATATTTATATATATTTATATATATATAAATGCAGTTTTTGCCCCCCCTAATTACAGGCACAGAGACAATGGAATACTGTTTATCAATAAAAAAGAAGGAACCCCCCCTATTTCTGACAATGATGATGGACCTGGACGGCGTGAGCTTAAGTGAAATAAGTCCCCCCCAATCAAATACTGTATGATTTCATAGTGTTTTCCATTAGTGCTATACCTATATACCCCCCCTCAATCTCAGAGGATGGTCAGTGCCCAAATAACATCTCAATACTAAGCCCCATCAGCCCATAGTGCTAACAGCTGACCTGTTCAGTAATGTTAGCTGAGCTGCCTGGTGAAGGTCTTTCCCTGACAAAACAAAAGGGTAAAGTCTATAAGGGAATTTCCTATTTAAATGTGTAGTTAACAACTCAAGGAATCAAGGATTCAAGTGAATGGTACACTGCCAAACGATACTAACAATGAATAAAAAACTGATGTGAAAAAATGAGTATCTATGAAATCTCTGACAAAGAATTCCACCCCCCCCTCTTAAAGAAGTTTGCTGAACTACAAAACACCCTGAAAGACATGGGTGTTTTTTAATTTTTGTTAAGGGCTGAAAACTTCCTAGAGGCAAGAGAAATATACATCTAGACTCATGAACCCCCAAAAGACTCCAAACAAGTTGAACCTTCAAGCACTACAGTAAGACTCATTACAATTATCAATTGTCAAACACAAAAACAATTTTGAAAGCAACAAAAGAAAAGTAACTCACCATATACAAGTGAGACCCGTAAGAATATGAGCAGAATTCTCACCAAAATCTTTTCAAGCCAGGAGAGAGTGACATGATATACTCAAATTATTGAAAGTAATAAACTGTCAATCAAGAATGCTATTTCTAGGAAGATTATTCCTTATTAATAAAGACGACAGAGATCTTCTCAAACAAAAGCAAAAGGAGTTCATTACCACTAGACCTGCCCTACATGAAATGCTAAAGGGTAATGTTGAATCTGAAATAAAACATGCTAATTAATATCATACAAAGATATGATTTACGAAATGCACCTGAAAAGAAAATGCTTTGCCAAAGAAACTCCTCTAATATTGTAATGATGGTGCATAATTTAAAATTCTAATTTAAGGGGTGGCTCAGTCTGGTTGTCTGCCTTGGACTCTGCTGATGATACCAGGGTCCTGGGATCGAGCTCATTGGGCTCCCTGCTCAGCGGGAAATCTGCTTCTTCCCCCCTCCTCTGCCTGCCGCTTTGTTTACTTGTGCTGTCTCTCTCTCTGACAAATAAATAAATAAAATCTTTAAAAATAAAATAAAATTCTAATTTAAAAGTTCAAAAACATGAGTATTAAAAATAATCATAGCTAGAATAATTTGTTATTAAATACACAAAAAAATTTTAACTATTAATAATCTAAATATGAGAGACACCTAAAGTATATAATCACTATATAATATCATGATATCAGTTTAAAATAGGATGTTATAAAAAATAAAATAAAATAGGCTGTTATAAACATAAGAGTTTTTTTATACACCCCCCCGTAACTACACCAAGAAAAATATAGATAGACAAAACCTGGTAAGGAATCAAAATCCCCCCCTAGTAGAATTTATCAAATCACAAAGGACACATAAGAAGGGAAGCAGGGAATGAAAGATCTTCAAAACATACAGAAATACAATGGCTTATTATTGCCTTATCAATTGAAAACTACTTTAAACATAAATCAAAAAGACCTATATAGTGATAAAAAGAGAAAAAATAAGGTCCAATGAAATGGTGCATACCAAAAATGTATTTTACCTTTCAGGGTACATGTAGACAAGAATGAAAAAATGGAAAAAAGATATCTCACGTAAATAGTAACCAAAATAAAGCAATTTTGTCTAATTACAAAATAAACTTAAGGCCAAAAATGGACAGAGACAAGGTGATTATATGATGAAGGGCCAATCTAACAAAAATACAGCAATTTTAAACACAGATGAAGTCAACATTTAGTTAGGAGCACCTAACTATATAAATCAAATACTAACAGAACTAGCAGGAGAAATAAGCAGTGACAAGATAATAGTTAAGGACTTTCATACACCATTTTCAAAAACAGATCTTTCATCCAGATACAAAATCAGTTAGGACATAGATCTGAAAAATACTATAGACTGAAGTACACAGAGAATCATATATGATCATATATGCCATATAATAATTTAAAAATACAGTATGACAGAAATTACATCAAGTCTCTTTTCTGACCACGATGGTATGAAATTAGAAATTAGTAACAGAAAGGAAATTCACAAATACATGGAACCCCCCCGACACAATCCTGAATAACTAATGAATCAAAGAAGATTAGAAAAATATTATTAACCCCCCCAAACAAATGATAGTGGAAATAAACATAACAAAACTGATGGAGTATAGCAAAAGCAGTGGTTAGAGGGAACATTTTAATGGCAATAAATGTCTACATTAAGAAAGAAGTATTATCTCAAATTAACCTAATTTTACACCAGAAGGAACTAGAAAAACAAAACAAACTAAGCCCAAGTTAACAGGAGGAAATAACTGATATCAGAGCAGAAATACATGAAAAATAATATGAAAAAAAAACCATTAACAAAACTAAAATTTGGCCCTTTGAAAAGATGAAGTTGACAGACCTTTACACAGCCAATCAAGAAAGAGAAAGGACACAAATAAAATTATAAATGAAAGATATGACACTGCAATAGAAACTACAGAAATTAAAGAATCATGAGACTACTATAAACAATTATACAACAAAACATTAGATGACCTAGAAGAAATAACAGAATTTCTAAAAATATACAACTTACCCTCACAGAAACATAAAGAAATAAAAAACTTGAATACAGCAATTAGTAGCAAGGAGACTGAACATATAATCAAGAACCTTTCTACGAAGAAAAACCCAGAACATAGTAACTACACAGGGGGAAAACCATTTAAAGAAGAATACCAACTCTTCTCAAACTCTTCAAAAGAACTGAAGATGAGGAAATACTACTAGACTCAATTTAGTAGGCCAGCATTATTACACTCATAATACCGGTACAAGAAAACACCAATAGCCCTTGTATATATGTGCATAAATCCTCAGCTAAATACTAGGTAGCTGAATTTAACAGAACCTTAAAAAGATTTTCTACCACGATGAAATGGGATTCATCCCTTGATACAAAGATGAGTCAACAAATGCAAATCAATCAATGTGATATATCACATTAACAGAATGAAAGATGCAAATCACATGATCTCAATAGTTGCAGAAAAAGCACTTGAAAATAGCTAACATGAATTCATGACAAAAACTCTCAAAGTGGTTAGAAAAGTAACATGCCTCAACATAATGAAATGACAAGCCTACCCCCCCCATTTAACTCAACAGCAGATGTTAGAATATAATCTTAACTCCATGGTTTCAACAGCTAGCTTATCATATTTTGATTTTCTCCATTTATTTCCCACCAATTTTCTTTTCTTTCACTTCAAACTCAGATATCTCCATTCTTCCAACTTTAAGCTCTCTACTTCTTATCAGTTACCTCAGTCTCCTGCA